GCTGTGAGCATGCAGGCACGGATGATGCGCTCTCTCTGCATTGGCAGCCTCCTCTTCTTCAGACGGGCTGTAAACTCCCATCTCATTCACGTCACGGTCCAGCCTTGAGGTCTCTTTCAGCATCTCTGCTTCCTAGGTCCCTCCTTCAGCTGTTGTTTTTTAGGTGCAGTCCCCCTCTGTTATTTCTCCAGTGGTCTGGGCACTGTCCATGCAGTTCATTCACAGGTGGCTTATACCTAGAGCATGACTATCCGTGAGACCCAAAATAATATAGGGACAGAGTTGGATCCTCAGCTAGCTCCTCTCCCCGTGCTATGTTGTGGAGGGGAGGTTGAATCCCTGCTGACTCTGGACCCCATGTCTTATGTAGTCCCCCCCCACACACAACATGGAGCCAACATGACTTGACTTGGCTGCATGCCGGCTACATCTACCCATGGGGGGGCTAGTTCACCCTAACTCCAGTCTATCTGTTTCTCTGGGTCCTTCCACCTGGAGCTCAACAAGTCCTAGGGGAAACGGTGGCAGTGGGTGCATCTACACATGCAGTGTAATGCACATTATCTTATTTTAATGCGCATTAAAGCACCACAGAAAAGCACGCTTTCACTAATGCACCTTAAACTAAGCTAATGTGCCTTTTTCTAGGATGTCAACATGGAGGTACTAAATTTAATGTGCATTAGCAAAAGCACATTAATGAATGTGTAGATGCACCCATTGCACATGAACCTGAGGTCCAGTTTGCTCCTCTGCTACTCCACTCTGGCACTAGTGTCCCCTGCTGAGTTCAGGGGAGCGGCTGGGTTGGGGTGCACTCTTTTGGGTATGAGTGGCCGGCTGTCTGTGCTGCTTGGCTTTCATTGGGATGAGAGGTGGCAGCCCTGACTGGTTGTGTCAGTGGGGCAGCTGCAGTAATCATGTTGCTCCTCTGAGCCTGAGCTGTTAGGAGGCGTTTCCTGCAGAGACAGCGCGAGAGCCCGGTGGTGTAAAAGACTGTGGAGCAGCCCTGAAAATAGCCCCAGTGAGACTAGGCAGATGCATCTTCAAACCGGTTGCTGCAGTTGCTGGAGGGGCTTGGAGAGACACGAGGAACATTTTGCACAAACCACCCACCCAGGTAATGTCACCTGCCCCCGCACTTGTAGGCCAGGGTCAGGGGTGCACCAGGATTCAGCACCCTGAGTGCCGCATCAGCATTGGGAGCTGGATTTCTGAGAGGGGTCCATGCCCCATTGCCCGCATGGTGCACAGTGGGTCTGCATCTGGGGGATGGATAGTGCTGAGGCCTCTTACACAGGAGGGAGTTTTGCTGCAGCATCCAAGCAAGTCATAGTTTCATAGTTTCAAAGTCTGTAGGGGTCTGACCCCCTGCCATCGCAGGAAACAGTACCAGGGTCAAACGACCACAGCAAGGTGTTCATCTAACCTTCTCTTAAAAACCCCCAGGGTAGGAGCCAGCACCACTTCGCTTGGAAGTTGGTCCCAGATCCGAGCTGCCCTGACTGTGAAGTCGCGCCTCCTGATGTCTAGTCTGAATCTCCCCTCTGCCAGCTTGTGACCGTTATTCCTGGTCACTCCTGGCAGTGCTCGGGGGAACAGGGACTCCCCCAATGCCTGCTGATCCCCTCTAGCCAGTTTGTAACAGGCCACAAGATCCCCCCTCAGCCTTCTCTTGTGGAGGCTGAACAGGTTCAGGTCCCATCGCCTCTCCTCGTAGGGCCTGCCCTGCTGCCCCCTGACCATGCGAGTGGCCCTCCTTTGGACCCTCTCCATGCTGTCCACATCCCTCCTGAAGTGTGGCGTCCAGAACTGAACACAGTACTCCAACTGCGGCCTGACCAGTGTCACATAGAGGGGGAGGATCACCTCCTTGGCCCTGCTCATGATGCATCTGTGGATGC